AAAGATTAACGTTAACCTGGAATTTTATTACCCTTAGGTCTGGTCTTCGACACGAGAAAGGGTACGCTTATGGTTCTCTTCTAGGTCTTCTAATGTTACTGCATTCAAACTGCAGAATGGGGCGAACGAGCCCATACCCTGAAACAAGATACGAAAATGGCAACAATTAGTTTGAAAAGCAACTTCAGACAATAAAACTTGCGGATTCAGGTATTTTGGATTACGCATATAATAACCGGCTTATGTCAATAATGGATTCACTTATGACGACTGGCAATCCCCTTTTCCTGATTTCAATTAATTTCTTGTGTAAAATCATCAGTAATGCATTTCCATTATACACATAATAGCTCTATTCTATCAGTATATCTTGCATTAATTCCTGACCACTGACAATCCATTTTTCCGGATTTCAATGGATTTCTATTGTAAAATCATTTAAATTATATATATATATATATATATATATATATATATATATATATATATATATATATATATAATTTGTGTATTTAGGCAGCAATCCTTCTTTCATGCACATTTCATTGAATACGACAAGGTACTTTTATTTGTTTTTTATACAATTTCTCAGGCGATCTAATAATTTTTTCTTTTCGGGTGATAAATTATATAAAAACCGCCCGAATGTTCTTTTTATCCGACCGCTTTCAGCTATACATTTAGCCATTTTCAAGGATTAAATATTTTAACTGTTAAAATAAGAAATAGTTTGTTGTATGTATGTTTTATAAAATGTTTTCATTTTTCGAAACACGGTCAATATATTATGTCCATGTAATTCACCTCCTAGAACAAAATTAAATAGGGCAAATATTACTTACGAATTTAAATGCCCATTAAGGAATTGTAATTTTTTTCTAGGTGGTGAATTACATGCAGGAAAAGGTTAAAAATAATGGAAGCCTTATTAATAAAAAAAAAACAACACTTAATAACATTAACTTTGAACATGGACACAATATCACCTTTATTGCCATATTCACGACGTTTCGGCAGTTGTACACTCTGGCCTTCTTCAGAATCAGTCATTTCTGAGATGAGATATTGTAATTATTTACATTATTTATATTGTTCGGGATGTTGTCCTCATCTTTATTGCTACGTTCACGACGTTTCGGTCGTTGAACGCTCCGGCCTTCTTCAGATGATTGGAATGTCGTCCTCAAAGACACATGGCCCACTGGATAAAAGCGTTGGTTGGACCCAGAAACCTGACCAAAATAGTTGTGAGTTCAATACCTGGCTACTGCTTTGGTGAACCAAAAACTTGGAGAGTTGAGTTAAAGGGAGATAACTGAGACATCCGGAAGAGGCATGGTACGTGAAACTAGAAACATCTACCTCGGTGGACTAAATAGAGGGTTCAGTTTGAAATTCCAATCACATGAAGAAGGCTGGAGCGTACAACGGCCAAAACGTCGTGAAAATGTCAATAATGATGAGGACAAGAGTTCGAACTATGTAAATTATGTAAATAGATATTGATAATAGTAATAGTAATATCAGCTGTTTCTTTATAAGGAAACACTGGAAATTCATTAACCGAGCGTTTATAATATCAGAAAGAGCTATACAAATGCCGAAGGTAAGTGTACCTGTGTTTTATAAAAACGCGTTTGATAAATCACGTTACAAAATCTGTTGGAAATGCCTTTGGGAAGGATGTTAGAATAATCCGAAACCTATACGGGTAGCTAACCACCTGCATACGGATAGAAAATGAGTTCAGTAAATATACAAAAATAGAATATGGTGTAAGGCAAGGAGGTGTCTTCTCACCGGACTTATTCAACCTAAACGGGGGTGCCTAGAGGTGGTGTAATGGTTAGCAAGCTTGTCTTGCTAGAACAATTACAACTGAATAGTGAGTTCGATCCTCACTGGGTGTCCCATACTTTCGGCCTTGTGCCACATCTAAGCTACGCTTGGAAAATCACTATTTAACCTGTGAGACGTTTCTGAAAGATGACTTGCCAGGATTCATTATTGGCGGCCACAGTCTTAACATTAGATAGGAAGATGTCAGAGTTTTAATAGTAGACTCAGAAATGAAACTACAAGAATATTCCCACAGAATGTAGTGAAGCAGGACAAGAAGAAAGGACGGAGGATTCATTGTAAGAAGACAGATTGTATGGTTGGGGGCAAATGTAACTGTCTAAAATACAAATTGTAGATATCGAAATAAATCATATAGAACAATTTAAACAACTGGGAAGTGGTTCAACTAAGGACGGAACGTGTGACATTGAAATTCGAAGGCGCATTGGTTTAAAAAAAAAAAAAAGATGCCTTCTAAAAACTAAGCAAATTATTAAGAAACAGAAAAAATTGTTATAAACAAAGAAAAAAGTACTGAACTGTTACTTTACATCGGTCCTATATAACTATGAGTACTGGAAAATATACCCACAGATGAAGAAAAGACTTGAAGCAACAGAAACATTGTTCACTATTTACATTATTCGGACTATTGTCCTCATCTTTGTCGCCTTGTTTATCACAACGTTTCGGCCGTTGTACGCTCCGGCCTTTTTCAGGTGATTGGAATGTCGAACTGAACCCTTTATTTCGCTCAGTGGGGTAGACTGTTCTAATTCCACGTGCTATGTCTAATGGATGTCAGTTATCTCCAGTTAATTCCCCTCTCCAAGTTCTCCACCGCCTTAACCAGGTATTGAACTCACACTCTTTGGGTCCTGTCACTGGATCTAACTAACGCCTTTATCCACTGTGCCATGTGTCCTTGAGGACAATAGACCGAATAATGTACATAATACCTCATCTTAGAAATATAGACAGAAACATTGTTCTACAGATGGATGCTAAGAATACAGTGGACCGAAGATGTGAATTTTAGAGAAAATGGAAACAATACTTATACTTATGACATTTCTTAGGCCCATTATGAGGAAAGAGTGCTTGGAAAATTTGATACTCACAGGTCAGATTGAAGGCAAAATGGAAAAGAATGCATAACCTACCTGACAAGCTTGAGCGAATGAATGCATATTTTGGAAGAGAGAACAAAAAGACAAAATTAAGTTAAGTGTTAAGAGAAGACAATTGCGGAGAGCCATGATCACCAAATGTACTTAAAAGACAAAGTATATAGAAGAAGAAACGTTTGTAATAATTCATTACTATTTACAATCTTTCCTTTCCGACATCGGTTGAATGCCGAAAACTGCTAAAACAAATTTAGGCCCCAAATTCGGAAAGCCAATGTTTAATCCTTACAGACGGCAAACATATTTTTGCCCTACCACCAAAAAGATTTAATTTTTAAAGAAAACGTTAATATAATTTTGTTCTATTTTTTAATCGAGTTCACCCCAAGCAAGACATTGACACACAAGGGGTTATTGGGCATGGAAGTGTTAGAAAAAAGAAACATAATTAAGGAGAGAGAACTAAAGAAGGGTAACCATGGGAACGGCAGATAGCGATTGATATTGCATTTAAATTTTAGCTGATCAAAGTTGGTTGGAAAACAAGGAACCGAAAGTGAGTTCCACAAGTGCGAGAAAAGAAACTGTTAGCATAGAACTTACGGTTTCATCTAGCCAGCTAAACCGTAAATTGGTGAGACCTCGTCGTCAGTCTAATATTGCGCTTAGATTCAAAGAGTTTAGGTACAATAACGAAGAACTCATTCGAACAATTACCATGAAAGTATTTATAGAAAAAGTATTTATAGAAAAATCACATGGCAATCTTACGACGTTATTAGTAGAGTAGCCGTATAAACTGTGAACAGTAATAGCAAGAAATTAAACTAAATATAGTACTTAAAAAGCTAATTCTAGAATTTTTAAGTACTATATTTGGAATCATTAAAATAAATTAATGTTTTTTGCTATGTTCGTAGCGTAAATCTTATCTATTTTTGCTGTGGTAAACCCCAGTTTGGGGGTTAACTATTTGCCGACAGCTGGGACCCTGACAGGTGCTACCAACCCGGGTCAGGGTGAACCTGGAAACACCAGCAATTGAGAGGTGGTTCCACGCTCTTCAAAACCTCCTAATGCTGTTGGATGTAGTTTATCGTCTTACCCAGGACGAGCGCTGTTCTTACTGTTGTAGCATACCTACGGATGATAATGTCTCCATTCACATAAATACAGTAGTAGATATTGTATGCTGGTCTGTAGTTGGAGATTCGTCTCCAGCTGTGCTAGTCAAACTCTCTACCTCCGGGCAGGGAGGATTCCCAGACGAGCCTATGTCGAAGGGCAGAGTCTTGTCTCGGGAAATAGCTACCCGACCCCGTTTTATACGGGTCTACGGAGAATTTTTGGCCGAGCCTACGGGCTTGGATACCCCATATTAAATTCGGCTTTGTGCCTCATCTGACCGCGTGGGGCGGTTGGTAGATATACTGCATTTGGATATTTAATGTTGAATTCACTTGGCTCACTTTTACGCGCCGTTGGCGAATCTTATATGTGTTGTTCTTGTCCTAAGTATTATCGTTTATTACCAACCTTCGTTCGATTATTCTATTCAGTGACCTTTCTTAGGTTACAACACTTACCCAGGATGCTTTTACTCTAGTAAATTTATTTTAAATATATTCTCTAGTAAAAGTTTTACAAATTAATTGTATAGATAGTTTTAGTACTTGCTTATATTATATATTTAATCATAAGAGGGAATCAACATTTTGACGTATTTGTTTAAGAAATCCTAACTAAAATCTCTTATTATAGCAAAATTAATTCTTATAATTCAATGCATTTGTGCAATAAAAATCATTTTCAATGAATTTTTGCATTTGCTGAAATGAAAGGTTTGTTTCATAAATCCTACTATAATGATAGGGGGGGTAGATAAACAACTACGTAACAAAGGTTAATGAAATCAGAGCAGTAGATTGCACACAGATCGAGTTGTAGGTCGCCAACAGCAGCCAACGATTGTTTTTCAAGACTAGGTAGGATTTCTAATAGAGAATCTGTGCCAACTATCTTCCATCTCTAAGGCGAAGTGAAAGAAAGAAAGAAAGAAAGAAAGAAAGAAAGAAAGAAAGAAAGAAAGAAGGGAATATTATAGCAAACAAAAACAAGAAAAAAAGAGAGAATGGAAAACGAAAGAACAAAGTAAAGAAACCTTTCTGGTAGAGTCTCTTTAAACTATAAACAATTTTTTAAAACAATAACTCGAATTAAAAAGCAGAATATTGAGTCATATAATCCACCAGTAGAAGAAGTAAAGAAAAATGATGAATTCATTAAGATAGATAGATAGATAGATAGATAGATAGATAGATAGATAGATAGATAGATTGATTGATTGATTGATTAAATAATGAGAGTGGGACTGATTGAGATAGAGAGAGAGAATGAGAGAGCTAGGGACTGATAGATAGATAATGAGAGTAGGACTGACTGAGATATATATATATATATATATATATATATATATATATATATATATATATATATATATATAACGAGAGGAGAATGAAAGAACGAGAGACTAAATGATAGATAGATATGAACAGACTGAGAGATAGAGAGAGAGAAAATGAGAGAGATAGGAACTAAGATAGAGAGAGAGAGAATAAGATAGATCGGGATTATATATATATATATATATATATATATATATATATATATATATATATGTGTGTGTGTGTGTGTGTATGTATGTATATATATATATATGTTTATATATCGCATTCCCTCATTACATATATATATATATATATATATATATATATATATATATATATATAGACAGAGAGAGAGAGAAAGAGAGAGGGAGAGAGAGGGGAATGCGAGGTAGGACCGTTATTACTATCAGGAAAATCATCCTTTGAATATGCTAATCTTTATCTAGCCTTGAAGACCGATAGCTGAGACGTTAGAGAACCTGATGCTTTTTCAGTTCCAAAGCAGATTCCCATATAAGTAGGATAAAAAGGCGAACGATATCAAACGGGTATTGAATATTTTATTAGAACATAAACCACTCATGGCAATGGGGTTGTTTATGAACAATATTTTTAGCAAGGCTGACCGAACTGTTTCGAAATTTCCAGACGTTTACACTATCTCCCTCCCACCGTTATACCCGCTATCGTTGTAGCCACCAAGTTTTTCTCACCAGATGCAAAGAGTAATTGTTTATGTGAGTGGACAGTGGCAGCGGAAAGGCACTATTGAAAGATGGGAGATGCGAATTTAGAAAAAGAGAGAAACTTTTGGGTGGGGAGAGAAAGGAAGCCCGGTCGAAAAAAACAAAAAAACAATACGTGATAAATTTCATCCGATGTGAAAGTGTGCAAGGACAAGGAAACACGTGATCAAAAATATAGAGAGGAGAAAGAGAAGGATTGAAAGATGAAGAGCGGGGGGTAGAGTAGAGAGAGAAGAGCAAGTGTATGTGGTTAAGGAAAGAAGGAAGTAAGGGAGAGAGAGAGAGAGAGAGAGAAGCGAAATAGTGAAGATAGGAGAAGAAAGAGAAGAGAGTTAGAAAGTAAATGAAGGAAAAAGAAGAAGAAGAAGAAGAAGAAGAAGAAGAAGAAGAAGAAGAAGAAGAAGAAGAAGAATATATTGAAACGGGAAGATAGAGCGCGAAAAAGAAGAGAAAGAAAAATGTAAAGAGAAAGAATCGGAGAGAAGGTGGAGGAAAAACTACAGAAAAGTCGTAGGGAGGTCGAGAAAAGAAAAAACGATAGCTAAGAATGAGATAGGGAGAGAAAAAGAGGGGAGAGGAAGGGAGACGAGGGGATGAGGGAAAAACAGAAAGTGACTGAGAAGCGGAAGAAGGAAAGGGGGATATAATGAACGAAAAGTGATAAAGAAGAAGAAGAAGAAAAGAAAGAAAGAAAGAAGACAAAAGAAAGAAGACAAAAAGAGTGATAAAGAAGAATGATAAGAAAACGAAGAAAGAAAATAAAGAAAACGAAGAAAGAAAATAAAGATAGAGTCACAGAGAAGAAAAAGAAAGAAAGAAAGAAAGAAAGACTGACTGACTGTAGGGCGTGAGACAAGAGGATGAGAATGAGAAAAAGAAAATGTGAACAAAAGGGTCGGAAATGAGAGAGAGAGAGAAAAGAAAGAATGAGAGAAGAGAAAGAAAGAGAGAGAAGTGAAAGAGAGAGAAGAGAAAGAGAGAGAAGGGAAAGAGAGAGAAGTGAAAGAGAGAGAAAAAATAAGAGTGGACAAAAAAGGGGAGTAGGAAGATGTGCGAGAGAAATAAATAAAATTAAGAAAAAGTGGAAAAGAAATCTATGAAAAAGAATAGAAAATTTGTAAAACAAATTCAGAATCAACAAAAAATTTAATTGTAAAGAGATCAAGTTTATTTATTTACTTATTTATTTTAAGGGTCAGCTGGGAAAATAAAAAATATATATATATATATATATATATATATATATATATATATATATATATATATATATATATATGCGTGTACAATAAAATATCGGTGCTTGTACGGAAACGAGAAACTAATGTGCCTGTTTTTAGCCGTTGTCATGGAGACCGCCTGGCCACCCTGTGCTGGGAGGCAGATTGGCTATGTTTTTTGCACCCTGCAAGACATATTAAATGCTTTATTGGATTAAAAATGAAGGGAGAAGCAAACATAAGCGCCATCCTTGAAAGAAACAAAACCCTATTTTTAAATTTGCCATATCTGTCTGTAAATACATATCTGCAGACTCATCAATAATGTTTACGGATTTGTTGGAAGACAAGCTGTCGGCATTTGCTTTGTTACGCTTAGTCTGCCTCAAGGCATATCGGGATGGTTCACTTATGATCGAACTTTACTTGGGTTTTCAAAATGGTTGCCATAATTCCTTTTTACACTAAAGCCAAAAAGTTAGTCATAAATCTGTTTTACACTTGAATAAAATAAATAGACATAGGTCTGTTTTACCCTATTTACGAACTAGCTCTCGTTACAACGTTCGCATTCCAACCATGAGATCCAGGTTCGAATCTCACCATGGTCAATTTGGCAGGAAGGAGACTTCCTCATGTTATCGGGGCCGATCCGAGCTTTGAAAACTATACCAAGCCGTCGATAGCTGTTCTAACACGAAGTCACAAGTCATCGTGGCCGAGAGCTTGAGCGTGCTCGGTTTGTTCAATTGTTGATTCACGCTTGATAACACGCTCTTTCATCGTTGCATAGTTGCAGTATAAACCACAGGTTGGCTCTGCGGGTGTTGAATAAACACAAATGCACCTGAGCAAGCGTCTACAATAGGGATTAGATAGCCGCCCTAGTAGACAGGTATCCTCAAATATACATTCATGCTAACATGGCTGCTACAGTAGGGGATGGCGCCCCATCTTTATCAACAGTAGACAGCTGAATTTAGAAAGGAAAGGGAGAGTCTTGACCCAAAGTCTGGATATCCTACAACTGCCACCACCGAGGAAAACTACAGTAAAAACTTGAATAAAATAAATAGACATAGGTTTGTTTTACCCTATATGCATACTAAATATGGTTAGAACGTTTGCATTTTGACTATGAGAACCAGGTTCGAATCTCACCATGCTCGATCTGTCAGGAAGGAGACTTCCTCATGTTATTGGACTGGAGGGGTCAATCCCAGCATACGGCACCTTTGTAAAGTGCTTGAAAACCATACCATGGGTTGACCCAAGCCTTGTGAGTGAAATTGGGTAGATGGAACCCTTGGGTTCCGTTGATAGCTGTGATAGTCACAAGTCATCGTGGCCGAGGGCTTGAGCGTGCTGGCCCTGTTGGAATTATTGACCACGCTAGATAACATGCTCTTTCCCCAGAAACTGTAACTGAGATCTGCTCAGCATAGTTGTAGTATAAACCACTGTTGGGCTCTGTAGGCGTTGAATAAACACAAATGCGCCTGAGCAAGCGTCTGCAATAGTGATTGACTAGCCGGGTATCCTCTAGTGGCCAGCTATATTATACATACTTGACTATTGTCCCGGCCTTTGTTGTTGGCATTACAACATTTCAGCCGTTGTGCCCTCCGGCTATCCTCAGGATAGATCTGGATAACTTACAGGGGACACTTTATTTAATCTACCTGTTTAAACTCTTCTTGATTCACTGCTCATGTCTGCGGACATGATTTAGTTCATATTTTTACTTAGTTCTTTTCTATTTATTGCTCTCCCGTTTCCACTGAGGACTCTTTAACAGGGATTGAACTCACAACCATAATGTCACTAAACAGATATTGTGGATAAATGTGTTTACTTGCAATCAGTGGAAACGGAAGAGCAGTAACTGAACAATCATGTGTCATGCGTGATATAACTTTCGATACATGACTGATGAGGCAGATTTTTTCCGCAGCAGGTTGCCGTTTCTTTCTGCGGTAGACTAGTTGCTATACAAGGCTATAGAACCCGGTTTATTTACCCATAGCTGGGGGCTGAAGAAGAGGATTCATACCTTCCCCAAGGGTATTAGCACGTAAGTGAATGGAATGGATTCAACTGGAATTCGATCTCGGCTCTCTGATGCCTCAATCCGCGCCGCTGCCCATTACTCCACCTGAATTTATGTGCCTCACTGAAGAATACTAAATAAAAATAAGAAATAGATGGTAGACCTATAGATAAGAAGTGGAGCGAGTCTACTCCCGTAGATTAAATAAAGGTTCCAGTTCAGAATTCTCTGGAGGTTACCAACGTCGATATATAATTGACAAAGGCCGGTGAGGTGAACGACCGAAATGCTGTGATAACAACAACAAAGACGATGACAATAGTTCGAATATAAATAGTGTAAATAATAACCCTCCATTTCAGAAATTAAAACAAACAAACAAAAAAAAAAAACAATTAAATATTTTCTGCGAAAATATTTAATTGCATTATTTACTTTATTCGGACTGTTATCCTCATCTTCATTGCCATATTCACAACATTTCGGCCGTTGCACGCCCCGGTTTTCTTCAGGTGATTGGAATTTCGAACCAAAACCTTTATTTCGTCCACTGGGGTAGATTGTTCTAGTTCCACGTGCCATGCCTCTTCCGGGTGTCTCAGTTATTTCCCTTTATCTCGGCTCTTCAGGTTTTTGGTTCATCACTGCTGTGGCTTGGTATTGAACTCACAACTCTCGTTCGAAGGCCTCTGATGGGAGATTGGAGGTTTTCAGAAGCGTGGGTCACCTCTTAATAGATTTTCTTCCCATGTTCACCCATTAGAGTCCCAGCTATGGGCAAATAGTAAAATCCCCCACAAAAAAAACACTGTGAAAGTATAAAAACACATAAAAATACCAGCAATACATTTTTTTCTATAAAATTACCAACAATACATAATTATAGTAAAATTACCAACAATATATTCTATTCGTAGTTGGACCCATCAATAGTGTTCAAAATGTTTAGATTTTGGCATTAAATAACCCATAAAGGTGTTGATATGCCGCTAAACAAAATCAACCAAAAAACTGAGAATGTTAACCCGAGATTTGATTGGAATTCGAACTCGGCTCAACGATCCCTCAATCCGAGCCGCTATCCATTACTACACCGTGCCTCCTAAAATCTCGCGCAACCAAATAACTTATTGTACGCATTTCTAATAAAAAGCACATATTATAAGTTGAAATTCACAATGTATACTCACATAAATATATCGTGAAGGTGTTGCTGGTGACTTCAGTAAGAATCGAACTTTCCTCCCGTCAATTGCCTCTTCGTTCGTTTTTTGACAACTGTCCGTACGCATGTATTTGTTACACACAACTGTTTGCTTTCTTTTTATTTATTTCTTGTGAACAATCCCAGCCGCAATACGGATAACCCTCTTCGGCTAGGCCCTTTCGTGCATCCATCTGCTTTTCAGATGTCGAGAGGCCACACCTGAGGGGCGTTTACGTCTCGTCTTAATGCTCTCTGCTTAGAGAAGAGAATTTTAAGAAGGAAATGTTTTTTCTTTGCCGTTGACAATATATATATATGTATATATATATATATATATATATATATATATATATATATATATATATATATATATATATATGTGTGTGTGTGTGTGTGTGTGTGTGTGTGTGTAATATTGTGTGTGATTTTTTCTTAGTTCTTTTTATCTATCTCTTAGCCATCGGATTGTTCTCTGCCCCTTAGATTCAGAAAAAAAAACACTCTAATCAAAAGATATAATAAAATAAAGATAATAAAAGTAAATAAATAAAAAATAAAATAAAATTCAGAACACATCAAATAACACATCTGACCAGCAAAAATATTAGGTTTTTCGGATAATAATTTCTGACTTATTTTTATACACCTTATTTGAATTACATTTTTATATTAATTATTAATACACTCTATACATAGTATTACGAATGAAATAAATAACTAATATATATATATATTAAGAAATATGCTCTTAAGGTGTGCTATATTTATGGGTTAAAATGCTCAATATCAGAAATAGAGCGTGTGTAAATATAAAAGTGAACACTGAAGTCAGCACTTAGAGACAACAGGCTGTTTCATGCCAGACGCAATCGTCAAGCCGCGAGTGTTGATTTTTTTTCTCGGCTATTTATATATACGGGTTAGTGGTGCATTGTGGGTAGTCTAATTTGTCGGTTATTTTGACGAAAGTCGTTTCTTTGTTTATTTATTTATTTATTTGGATTAAATTATTTTGCTTGTTTTTATTTATTTTTTAATTTTTAATTTTAATTTTTATTTCCTATCTTTTATCTTATATATTTATTTATTTATTTTTATTTTAATCGGCGTTCTATTAACGTTGTAAAATTTGTTATATCGCTTATTTGTTTTGGTTTGGGAAGATAATTAAAGCTATTTATTCAATTTTGGGGTTGATTGCTGTAGTATATTCTAACTATTATTTTGGCGAGAGCAGTTTTTAATTTGTTTATTACTTCACTTATTTATTTGGATTGATTATCTTTACTTGTTTTTTCTAACCGTTAATTTATCGGGATCGGTTTATTTGTTTATTTATTTGGATTAATTTAGATTAATCTATTTTACTTGTTTTTTATTATTTATTTATTATACTGTATATTTTTATTTACTCTTTTCAGTTATTTTTAAGTAACGTAGTATTTTTTATCGTTATATAACAGTTATAGCCGAGAAATAAACAACACTTGTGGCCTGACGATTGCGTCTAACATGAAACAGCCTGTTGCCTTTGACTTCAATGTTCACTATATATATATATATATATATATATATATATATATATATATATATATATATAAATGTAAAAAAGAACGAAGAATAAAATTACAACGTTCAAAACATTAATTCAAAACAGAGCTCAATACAAGGGAAGAGCAATAAAAATTTATTATACACTGTATTTAAAAAAATAAACAAACGCACGAGAGTGGATGTAATAGAAAGGGGAGAGGAGGACCTAAAGAAGAAAAGCAAGAGCAATATATCGGTGGGTGGGTAATTGAATATAACATTTTTTTATGCAGCCTCATATATGCTTAACAGAAATTTCCTAATATGTAAGCAAGGACTCAAGATTTCAGTTTCTGATACAACTCTGACCATTTTTATGTATTATATATATATATATATATATATATATATATTACAGCGATATTCACCCTTTACAAAGCCCGGGGTCACTCGAGGTAGAGAGTTACGTTAGGAGGTCATTTCTGAGAGTGGAAGATAACGGTTAACCGTACCCTTGAACAGGTAAAGATTATAGAGGTCGGGGAAACGTCCTTCATGCTGTCTGTTCTAC